GACAGTATGAGCTTGAAAATACGGGCGAAGCTTCCGAGCTGCAATAACTAGAGCATATGCCAACTTTTCAATCTCTGGATATATCGTCTCTGCTCCCTGCAACACTTTGCTAACATAGTAGATAGGTTGTTGGACCCTATCTACCTCTCTTATTAGTACCGAGTTGACCACCTCGTCACTTGCAGAGAGGTACAGCTCCAAAACATCACCCTCCTTGGGTCGGGTTAAGACCGGGATACTGGCGAGGTACTCTTTGAGCTCGTCGAACGTGAGCTAGCATTCTTCGGTCCATTCAAAGCCTTTGCTTTTAATCGCTTTAAAGAAAGGCAAGCAACGATCTGCTGATTTGGACATGAAGCGGCTCAGAGCGGCTATGCGGCCATTCAACCTCTAAACCTCCTTCAATTTCCGGGGTGGTCTCATATCTAGGATGGCCTTAATTTTATCCGAGTTGGCCTCAATGCCGCACCGGTTAATGATGTACCCTAGGAATTTACCCGAGGTGACACCAAAAACACACTTGTTTGGGTTTAACTTCATATTAAATTTACGCAAAATTTCAAAGACAGAATGCAAGTCTTGTATTAAATCATTCGAAAACTGGGTTTTGACGACCATGTCGTCTACATAGCATTCTACATTTCTACCAATTAATGGCTCAAATAATTTATTTACAAGTCTTTGAAATGTTGCCCCAGCATTTTTCAGTCCGAAGGGCATGACCTTGTAGTAGTACAGGCCGAGCTCGGTTATGAAGGTTGTCTTTTCTTCGTCAATAGGGTCCATCCTGATCTGGTTGTAGCCCGAATAGGCATCTAAGAAACTCAACAACTCATGCCCTGAAGTCGCGTCTACCAAACGGTCGATCCTGGGAAGTGTGTAGCAATCCTTTGGGCAAGCTCGGTTCAGATCGATGTAATTGACACACATGCGTCATTTACCGCTAGCCTTTTTTACCAAAATGGGGTTGGCCACCCAGCTCGGGTAATGGACTTCCCTGATAAAGTCGGCTACGAGGAGCTTCCCGACCTCCTTGTCAACTGCTCTTCAGCGCTCTGGGGCCAACTTGTGAGTTATGATGCTAGGGTCTATGTCGGGCATCTCTGCCGCGGACCATGCAAAAACATCTAAATTTTCAAGTAAAAAACTCACTAGTTGGGATCGTAGAGGCTCCTCGATTGAAGCGCCGATCTGGAGTGTCCGAGTTGGGTCCTCTGTCGAAGTCAGGATGGAGAGTCTCTTCTGTGGGTGTCGCTCTCTCCTCACACTGCTCCGCAGGTCGCTCCAACTCGAGGTCATCTGTCACCTTGGCTTTCCCTTTGAAGGTGGCAACGTAGCACTTGCGAGACTCAAATTGATCGCCTCGCGCCACCCCAACTCCGAAATCCGTAGGGAACTTCATCGCCAGATAGTAGGTAGAGACCACCGCACGTAGGGCGTGGGTGATGGGCCAACCTATTATAGCATTGTACAGGGAGGGAGTCGTGACCACCAAGAAATCATGGTTGAGCCTCACTATGCTAGGCCAGGTGCTGACCTCCACAGGTACAATGATTCTCCCCAAGGGACTGACTTCCGCTCCGCTGAAGCCCACCAAGGGAGTATTTGCGAGCTTGAGGTCGCCTTCTTGGAGCTGAAGCTTGTCGAATGCTGCCTTGAAGAGAATGTCCGCTGAGCTACCGAAGTCGACGAGGACACGCTTGACTTCGAAGTCATTGATCCTTATCTTCACGACGAGCACATCATCGTGGGGGTAGTGGACCCCGTGCGCGTCGTCCTCCGTAAAGAAGATCGGGTCTTCCATCCTTGGACGCTTCGGGCGATTCTGGTCTTCCCTTTCGACCTCACAGGCTGATGTCCGAGCTGCAGCCGAGGTGCAGCCCGCGATGATCGATCCTCCAAAGATCATACGGATAGTCCCCCGAACTGGTCTCTCTTCCGGGGGGCTGCCTCTACAGTTGTTCTGCTTTCCTGTTGGGTTCGGGAGCATCTTTGCTTTGCTCCCCCTGCCGACCTGCTTTATTATTATTATTTTGTACAACATTTCTTAAATATTTGCGACGGATGAGCTCCTCTATCTCGCCGCGGAGCTTTTTACAACTCTCGGTACTTTGACCATGATCTTTATGGAAGCTACAGTGCAAATTTTTATTCCTTACATTAGGGTCCCCTCTCAGCCGGGGTGGCCACTTCATATACAGGGCGTCCTTGATCGCCATAAGGATCTTGGCCCACTTTGCGTTCAGGGGCGTATAGTCTGTCCTCTCTGCTGGTGGAGCTCGGAAAGGCTGACCTGGCCTTGCCCCCCGAGCTAGGTCTTTCTTCTTCTTACTGTCCCCCTGGGTCGAGGACTCGGCCTCCCTCTTCCTTTTTTCAGGGACCTGCTCACCCTTCTGGTTGATTTCCTCCTCCGTCCCTATAAACTGGTCTGCAAGCTTGAGGAACTCGGTTACCGACTTGGGCCGATTAACAACCACATGCCACTTGAATTCTTTGTGCGTGATGTCTCTCTCGACCGTCGTAAGCAGAACTACGGGGTCCAAGTCGGGTATCTGTAAACAAGCGTCATTGAACCGCTTGATGTAACTTCGGATAGATTCTCCTTCCCTCTGGACTATGCCAAGGAGGCTCTCCTGGGTCCTCGGGCACTACTTGCTGGTGACGAAGTGAGAAGTGAAGACTTGCATGAATTGCGCCCAGCTTCTTATTGATCCGGGCACGAGGTTCCTGTACCATGTACGGGCCACTCGTTTGAAAGTGGTGGAGAAAGCTACGCACATGCAGGACTCATTGTCCCTTGCCAAGTGCATCTATGATTGGAAGGCGTCAACATGGTCATTCGGGTCGAACGACCCGTCATATTTGTCCAGGGGAGGCAGTTTGAAGTCCTTGGGCATTGAGACGACCAAGAGTTCAGGGGACAGAGGGGATGGTACAGAGAGGAGCGGAGTAGCTTTCACTTCGCCCGAGCTTACCTCTTCCTTACCCTTGAGCTCGGGCAGGTTGTGTGTTGCAGTTTGACGATCTCGGCGACGCCTCCGCTACTTTTTTGTGGGCTCCGTATTGGTGCTACTGGCCTCGGTATTGTCGGGCACAATTTTTGCGGGGAGGGGGACAGATTGCGGGTGATGGCTGCGGATAGAGGGATCTTTCCTGGAGTCTGCAACCAAGACCTCGAACCGGTTCTCCACAAGCGAGGCCACGAACTCGAAAAGTTGCGATGATGCGGGCCTAGTAGGCTGGGAACCTCCTGACCTGACTGTGCGCGGTGAGACAGGGGAAACTGGTCTTTCCTTCCTCCTATGGGATGAGACTTGACTCTTGAGAGGATTCTAGGTTTGAGAGGTCTCTCCCCGGCGAGAAGGACGCTCGTTCTGACGGCGAGGCCGGACTTGTTGCGCGGCCGGATGTCGAAGAGGAAGCGGCTTCTGGGTCTGAGGCAGCAGAGGAAACTGCTACTAATAGTGATGCTGAGAAACTTGGTGCAACACTTGCTGCCGATATAGTTGGAATTGTTGGACCTGTTGCATCTGAGCTTGCATAGCTCGCATGCATTGCACTAGGTCTTCAAGCTGGTTTTGGGTGGTCACGGTAGGAACAAGGGAGGGTTCAGTGAAGGTTGTTCCAACCGTGAAAGGGAGTGGAGCATTCACGGGTGCCATTGTCTGAGGCACGTTCAGGATGGGAACTCCATCCGTAGAGAGGGGGATGGTGAACTGTCCATTACACACTACTGGGACTTGGAGTTGCTCCCCGGCGGTGTTCATTTTTGCACTGTGCTGCGATTCTTGAGGAAGCCATGAGAACTGAAGTTTGCAAAGTTTTGGTGGAAGGCTTTTTGAAGCATTCCCACAAACGGCGCCAAATGATGTAGAGTGATCCGGTCACTCCTACTGGCGGTGGTCTGGCTCCTAGCTGACAACGGACGGTACCTGAAATGGAAAAGATAGTGAAAGATTCCCGGGGAGTTCACCCGGCAGGAATACTCCGATGTTCTGTCAAATCGGGACCTTTATATACTGATGTTCTGTCAAATCGGGTGTAACCGCCTTTGATCATCTGCTACAGCCGTTATTCGCCAGGTTGATTCAATTGGGGCAGACATCTATCACAGAGTACGGTCCTATCAGTTGAGAGACGTTATACAGAGCTGGCGTGTACCACGCCGCCTGATGTGAGACGTGGGTGCATTCCTCTGGACTGGCAGGTGCTGTGCCGTCAGACAAGAGACGTGGGAGCAATCTGACAAGCACGGTCTTGTCGGGTAGGAAGTTTCCCGAAGACTCCGAGTTACTCAATAGCGATCGCCTTTGTAGCGAGCTGCCTTGAGCTATAGTGAATTGTCTCATGGCAAACTATTCTGCTGGGGTTTTAGCGAGTTCATCACGCCGAGTTTTGGCCAAACTGTCATACTGAGCTGTCACTTACGCTGAGTTATGTCCACGTGTCACCTGGTTAGGAGGTCGGGTCAAATCACCCTCCATCATAACTATATACATAGAGATTGTTTTCACGGGCAGAGCCGCTGTTTTCAAGGCAATATAATCAACAACTCTATATTGTTTTCACGGCAATAGAGTCAACATCTCTATACGCAACAACTATTTTCATGATGGGGCGAAGGGCAATTTTTGGGCCAATAATATTTTTAATAAATTTTTAAAAATAATATCAATTAAGACTAAAATTAGTGTTCATCTTCTTACTATTGCAATCTATTCATCAGCACCTCGGCCTTTGGCAATCTCCGACAACACCTTCGCCTACCTCCGCCGCCTCGGCCTTCGGCAATGTTGACGGGTCAAACTTCCATATTTCTTGGCCGTGAGGATCATTTAGCTCCAAGCCTCCATCGCTGGTAAGCTGAACGGTTGAACTTCTCGGGGCTGGGTTATTTCCGTTTGCATACCAAGTCACGGTTTTATCTGGTATTTTGTCGATCCAGCTAGCAAAATCACTGTGATCACAGCAAACACGAACTGAAGTTAAACCATGGACGTCATAGGATAAAACAGTGCAATCATAGCCGTATCCTCGGTTCTATTGTGGTATAACTGCGTCGTCTCCAGCAACCTCGCTCGGCCTTGCCCCAGAACGGGAGGAGACGATCACCAAAAGACATCTTGTAAGTCCAAGTGACCCAGCAGATTAAGACGGCAGTGAAGGCGTAGAGCACCATGAAAGCTGAATTGACTGCCCATTTCTTTTTCACTATGCTTCCATAGAGGATGACGAGACCCATCACGCTCTGCATCCTGACCAGCATTGCCGATATCATCTGCCATGCGTTGTCCCCTTTGTTTAGCCAGTCCGGCACTGAAGATGTTTTGTTTTGGTAGGCTATCGGCACTACAGTGGCCGCCATTTCTGAAACAGTAGTCAGTCCGGAAGGAGAAGGCCAAGAAGTGTTGTCATCACCGGCAGTAAGAGATTTGCCCAAAGTTACGTTACTGTAGGCTTGAGCTGTGATACCATGTGGTAAAAGCAGCAGCAGCAGTAAGAGGGTTGCAATATGAAGAATTGCAGAATCCACTGGAAGTGTCATTTGGTACAAGATAGCCTACATGCTACTCGATTAATAAATGGAACGGAAGGAGCTTGGAATGGAGTGAGAGACAAATCAACTGACAGCTTCTCGGTTTCTCTACCGTAGTCGAGGAAAACTTCAAGGAAGAAGCCTATAGACCAAAAACCCTGTTGATTAATCGTTGGGTTCTTGTCGAAATTCATAGGTAAGAGACGTAGAGTAAAGCCTGGTCTTTCATACTGGTTGTACTAGTTTCTAACATTATAATTTACTAAAAATGGTGGAAATAATAACTGAAATTATTAAAAGTTACAACAATTTTACAAAGAAATAAACTGACCCTATGGATCAAACTACCCCAAAAGAAGAATGAAGAATGGTCGCCGGAGAAGACGAAGAAGAAGAGGAGAAGAAGAAGAAGAAGAGAAGAAGAATGGATGTCGGCCATACCACCGGAGCTACTTGAAGAAGAAGAGAAAAATGGAGAGGTGAAGAAGAAAAGAAGAGGAGAAGCGGACACGAACACGTCGCCGTCGATTAACCGTCGTAGGTCTGTCGCCACCGATGAAGGAGTTTGGTTTATGGGTAGGATTCGGTGGAAGGAGAAGCTCTCCAGGGGAAACAAAATCAAAGAAAGGTGTTTTTGTCTGTGTTCCAGACCGGTTCGTGTCCACACGAACCGGTTTGTGGACACGTGAACCGTCCGATTGAACTGACCAGACCACACTAATGCTCAAATGCGCATTAACATTGGCCTGGTCAACGTATCGTTTTGCCATTCGTGAGTTCACGCATCTAGTGCACCCACGGGTGCATAGAATGCCAGTTCGATAATTTAGGAGAAAGTGGAGGATAGTTAATTTCCTAATAAAAAAAGAAAAAAAAAAGGAAATAAGCCATATTAGGTGGCAACTCCTAGTGCTTCTAGAGGGAATCTTGCACCCCCTCTAGAATGTTCGGTTTGGGTAACCGAGCAAGGAGAGGGCTGTTGACATGGCAAGCTCTAATTTTGTGTGTGTGTGTGTGTGTGAGTGTGTGTAAAGGGCCCATGCAATATGATAAAATTTGAAAACCAAATAATAAGATCCAAGGAAAGTAATTCATAGTAAAACAATAAATGCATAATTATTGTTAATTTAAGGTTAACTCAACCATAATTATTGTTAATAAATTGTTATTAATTTGTAATTAAATTGAAATAATTGTCATTAGTTAATTGTAAAATAAGTAAATTACTATTTATGATAAGTAATTGAATGGCGATAGAGCGGGTTCAGGACAGAGACCATATTCCCTATCCCCAACCCTGATTTTGAAACAAATCCTCATCCTTGACCCCGACCACTACGAAGGATAAAAGTTACCCTCCATCCTTGATCCTTGACAAAGACAGGTTTCTCGTGGGGACCTGGATCATCACTTTTTTTTTAATTAAAAGTATTTTTGGAAAATAAATTTACTTAAAATAAAGAATAATTTAAAATATAAATAATATCTTAAATATATTTTAATATATATATATATAATGTAAATAATCTATACTATATATATAAAGCAAAACGGTCCATGTTAGCTACCCTTTCCTTTCTTCAAACCCCCTTCCTCCTTAACTCTCTCTCTCCTTTCCCCTTCCCATTTTGCCAATTCAGCACCCTTTCTCTTCATTCCTTAATTAAGTAAAATAATAAAATTAACCAAATTATTGTTAACTATGTAATTAAAGTTAATTAAAAGTATTTGTGGAAAATAGATTCACTTAAAGTAGAGAAAAATTTTAAAATATAAATAATATTTTTAATATATTTTGATGTATATAAAGTAAATAATATTTAATATATATAGTCGAGGTAGAGAGAGGGCAAGGACTTCACTCTCCATCCCCATCCCCATCCCCAATTAGGGATCCCTATTAATCCCCATCCTCACCTTCATCCTATCCCCGCCCTATTACTCCCCATTGGATTAGGGAAGTCGAATACCCAGCAAGGATGGGGAAAATTGCCATCCCCAAGTTGATTTTGTTAATTAAACAATCCAACTAAGTTTTATTAAGCAACCTAATAAACTAAAAGTTTAAAGTGTTAAAAATTCAGTAAATTAATTAGTGTAAATTAAGTAACTATTATGAAAACTTAAAATTAACCATTTTATATTAATTATGTAAATAAAGCTAATTAAACTAATTAGTATTAATTATGTAAATCATTGGTGTTATACAACCAAAGAATGGGGTCTGCAAGGTTTTGACTCAAGATTTTAATGCAACTCATATTGTTATTAGCAATGGAAGAGGAATATGGAAATGGAAGATTGTTCAAAATCTTCCCTAATTACTTTATCCAATTTTGTAAGGAACCATAACTGTTTCTACTCTATGGGATGTATATCTCACTAATGAGATTATTAGATTAATCATGTTGGTAAAGAGAGTGAGAGACCTTAGTAGTTGTGGGGAGAGAGAGGGCGGGAGATATTATAGGTAATATATTGAGTTAATTAAGGAATTGAGAAAAAAGGGGTGTTGAATTGGCAAAATGGGAGTGGTGCACTACAAGAAAATAGACCTATAGCTATGGACAAAACCGTAGCTATAGGTCTATTGCTACAATCAGAAAACAGTAACTATAGTCGCAGTGGCTATAGGTAATAACTACAGATGCTATCATCCATAGCTAAAACTAACCTATAGTTACGATCTGTGTCTATGGCTAAAGCCCGATTCAATAATTATATGTGAAGCTTTAGCTACGGTTTTTTAGTCAACAATGTCTACAAATTTGACTCTATAGCTACGGTTTGCTTTACAACTGTAATTAAATGTTTCTCTATAGGTACAGTATCGAAGTGCCCAAAGCTATAACATTTAGATCTATAGCTACGGTTGTTGAGAAGGTCGTAGCTAAAAATATGATTCTATAGCTACAATTTACTTTAACCGTAGCTAACAAAAAAAAAAAAAAAAAAACCCCTATAACTACTGAGTCAGGTTGTTCGTAACTAAAATAAGAACCTATAGCTATGGTCTAAGCAATCTATAGCAAATAAAACATGAATCATAACTACGGTTTTTAACTATTTGTAGCCAAAATTGTTGATATATGGTTGATGTCATTTTTTTCCTGTATCAAATACAAGCACAACATATTCCATTCATAATAAAAGATTAAACTTGAATGCAAAATTCCAATAAAAGATTTTATAATGAAAAAATGAATTGCATCTCAAGATTTTTTAATACATTCATGTGTTTAAAATCTATTACAAATTGAAGGTTCTTGAATACATCCATTTGTGGACTCTTTAAGTGCACAAATCAATGAAATGCAAAAAGAAAATAAGTAGTTGAGAGAGGAACTTCAAGAATGGCACTACTTGCATTCCTATACATAGGAATGGCAACAGAGTGGATTCGGGGTGAGGATCATATTCTCTGTCCCCTGCCTTGATTTTAAAATAAATCCTTATCCCCAATTCTAATCCCCATTTAGGATAAAATTTGTCTTCCATCCCATATCCATGATGGAGATTGATTCCTTATGGGGACCCAAATCCCTAGAATTCTTTAATTGATAGTATTTTCTTTAATTAAAAGTTGTCCTTCATCCTTGACCATTTATTGTGCTTCTGTTGTTTTTTTTTTTTTTTGAAAAGATAGCATATAATTGTTTCATAAAATTTAGTTAAGAGTTTAACACTTCAATAGGTTCATATCTATCCTAATTAAAGGAAAACAACTTGGAACACTAAGCTGTTTGGCAAAAAAGGTACATTGATTGTACAAGCTTAGAAGTTTTTGCATTGACAGACAAAAAATTTTTCTTTAGAGAACCATCTCGAGCTTTTGCATTCATCAAGCTTTTCTGCTACGGTGATTTGAAAAGACAAGAAGTTAGAAAAAAAAAGAATATCTTATTTTTTAATAAATATATGTGGTCAATGCTTGTTGTAATTGTATTTGCCTTTTAGGCAATTCCAATCCTGCTTTTCCTACAAAGCATGACATTTCTTTTCTTTTTTCTTTTTTCTTTTTTTGTGTAAAGGAATCAAACACAATCTATTAGTAGGAAAATCTAGTCTACTACATCATTAAATTCTACCTATTACTTTGATAAATTGATCAATCTAAAAGGTTGCATTCAATCCTTTAATTTATTAAAACAAAACTCTGATCACATTGATTGAACATATCCACTTTTCCTCCCATTAGACATCATTTTAATTTCTCTTTTTGTCTACGAAATTTTATTTTTAAATATAAAAATTTCATAATGCTATTACCCTAGGCATAATCCTTCCCTTCGTGCAAATTTCCTAAGGTATTAACCTAAAATCAATTAAAAATCTATCATTTTGTGTGAGCTACCTTCGGTTGTAAATATTAATCCAAAAATCAATAAAAATTTAATTTTTTGCTTTGTGTGAGTTACCTCTAAGCATAATCTTAGTCCTAAAATCAATAGAAAATCTTTCACTTCATGCAACCTTCCGTTGGGAGTAAATCAAAATTTTAAAATCAATAAAAATATATTCCAGTGTAAGCTACCTCTGAGCAAAATCTTTATCCTAAAATCAACAAAAAATTCTTTAACTTCATACAAGCTTCCTCCGGGCATAATCATAAAATCCTTAATTGATCAAAAGTCTTTTGCTTCATGCAAACTTTTTTTGGTTACAATCTTAAAATACTAACCCTTAAATCAGTAGAAAATCTTTCGCTTTATACAAGTTGCCTTTGGGCATAATCCATGATTGAACCATCGTATCCTTAAACTATCGGCATAGAGTTCAAATCCTTATTATGGACATTAGTCTTAATTCACCACCATGTCATTTTGCATTATATGGTTTTCATCATTTGATTTGTTGAGGTTTTGATGCACAAGATGCTATCATTTATAGGACTCGTGTTACCCATTAAGACAATATAGCAAACGCTATATCAATCATAGGACCTTTATCAAATTTTCAAAATGGTTTTCTCAAATGTTTTCAAACCAAATACACATTAAAATCTATTCAACATCAACCTTTTTTTAAACAGCAAAATCCATAAAAACCTAACAAGCTGCATCAAATAACAATTTTTTGAACTTCATTAGAGCATCTAAAAGCATCAAATCAACAATGCAAGCATTAATAAAAAAATGTCAATTAATACTTGTTATTTTTGGGATGGAACCACTATTTGTTTCACATGTTTGCTTGATAGTTGAATTTGCCTTCAAAGGCATGGAATTGTACTATACCTTCCGATCAAAGGCATTGTACTACGTTAGTCTCAACCTTGACTAAAACTCCATAGCAAAATTCCTCTTTGATCTTTTTGTTCCTCTAAAAAATCTCTGCATGCTTATTTTTCTATGTTGTTCAACACATTTTTTGTTCAGTTCCTTCACCCAACCTCTTTATGCCCTCTTCTGAACCCCAAAACTTGAAATATAACTACACTAACCTAAAATTAGTTGAAATCCAAAATTCTCATGTCAAACGTCTGCCTAAATTATACCAATAAACTTCACCTCTAATTATTGAAAACATTGACAACAGCATTTGACACTGCATAAGCTTTAATACCTTAATCAAACATAATCCCTAGACTTAGGAAGCTAAAACTTAGTTACATACAGAATTTTGTGAACAAACTCAAAATATTTACTGTTCATTATACCAACTTGTTTTTAGACAGTCCTAATCTACATAGTGTTTGATCCTTAACTTTACATAAATCAAATCTGACACACCCATTGCCTCAATGATACTAAGATATGATCAACCCTTAAGTTCCACCTCAAATCTACCATGATCTATTATAAAAATGCCAAGATTCCATTTCGAAAGCCTTTGATGAGTAGAACTTGACAATCAAGACCAATAAACACTTCTTTAGATTTGAACCTTCTACCCAACTCCACATCTTAATTCATGCTCACATGTCAAATTTTAGCTCAAAATTCCCTTGTTTAATCGTCTGACTAACAACCACATGACAATCACCTTCTACCATAAATCCATTACATCCATTGTTGTGTGCTAACTTTAACTTATACAGAACTGCTAACAGTTCATCTCTTAAAGAGCTACCAAAACCAACTAGCCCTGATTAGCAAATTAAAATGCTCTCATCATGATCTCTAATCACTTTGCATGAGTGCTACTTGGTGGCTGCTTGTTACCAAAAACCAGCAACTTCGCTTGACATCAAACAAGTCAAAATTCTATGTCAAAGAAATTAAAATTCATAACAATTCAATTGAGTATTACCACAATAGTTGATTTCTTATATGTGAGTCACATCCCAATAGAAAACTCAATCATCATTTTTTCTTTTTTTCTTTCTGTTTGATTAACAAATAAAAAATCCCATAGTAAAAAAGAGAAGAAGAATTGAAAAGAAGAAAAAAGAGCAAAATACAAGTGTTGGGGTGAAGCCCAAAATAACAATCCTAGAAAAAAAAATATAAGCACCTATTAGTCAAACAAGAATCTACACAATATAGTCCACAAGACCAAGTGAAGACCACAAACCCTTGCTAAATAATAAACTTATAGCCATGTCATCAGAATTCATAGCACTAAGATCCTGTACAAGATGAAGGACCCCACTTTAGAATAGAAACTATTGATTGATCTTTCTTTGCTTTGAAAGGATCTTTAATCCCTTTCTTGCCATGCCTTCCAACATACACAAAAGGTATGATACTCAGAAAACAGTTTTTCTTTGGAGAATCATTGATCGGATTATTAAGAAGCAAATTGACATTTTTGGGGGCATCTAGGAGGAAAGAAACTCTGCGAATGTTTAGGATTGTACCCATATCGTTAGGAATATGTATGAAGGGACCTTCTTCTGTTTTGGTTAGTTCATCCATAACAAATTAAAAAGATATAGACTACTGACAAAAAACTTAACCATCCATTGCTATAACCTCTTTTTAATGATGGAATGTATTTATAGTGACGAAATTTTAAATTCATCATTATAGAGTTATTTATAGTGATGGATATCACTGTACGTCCATCACTAAAATCCATTTTTCTTAGTTAGGGTTTTATCAACAAATAATTCACCAATACAAATAGGAATCATATATTATGAAATACAAATTATAAATAATAAATATAATAAAATATAGTCAATGTCATCGATATGGATAAACAAAGAGATCTACAGTTTTAAATCTCGTTCAGAGAGTGGAAGTGTAAAGGTTTTGTTGTATATTTTATTATTTGTTGCTTCAAATTTTATGAACTTCTTTCAGTTCTGCATAGCTCTGAGTCCCTCCAAGACATGAACAATCTGCTAGGTTCAAATCATAATTAAATTTTTAGGAGAATCCATGCGAAACATAAATCAGTACAGACAGAATCTTAACCAATGTTTTTAAAACTAGAATGGAATCACTTCTCACGTGGTGGATCAATGGTTCGACCATGGATCAAATGAATGGATATCCATGATGTACATAGTATCAATGAAAAAAAAGTAGAAAATTATAAAATTATAAAAAAATAAACACATATGTTTCTAATATTATATATTCCTCATAATAATAAAATCAATTGCAAAAAATGAGAGTCATCATTATTAGTGATGAAAATTACTAGAAATACAAAAAAAAAAGAAAACATAACAGTAAGACTCAGTTTGGAAGGAGTACAGATACAAATATGTACAGTGCAAATGCATGCAAAATAATATAAAATATAAAGTTTTGCACTTTACATATTTGTATTTGTACTCCTTCCAAACTGAACTTAAAGAGTAAACATCTAACCGATAACCCACTACTAGGTCCAAAAGTTAAGTAATTCAAAAAGTTGGGTTATTTCATTGATTGAGTCAAATGAATTCTTGCAGGTGAAGGATGATTTGAGAGTGAAATACACCTGTAAATGAGTAGGGATCTCCTGCCAACAAAACATGTTCAACAACCTACACATTGCACATCTCACTATAAGATTATAAGATTAGGACCCACCATAAAAAAGGGACCCAGCATGCATGAGATGTATGCAATGTTAGATCATGTTGGTAGGGTGTTGGAGCATATTTTGTTGGTAGAAGATCCGGACTCCCTATAAATATGACCAGATGACAGTTTGACGGATCCAATTGGCCAGTTTGGCTATGGGTCCAAACATTGTATCCAAGATGCTTACCATGCTCATGCAGGGTCGGTGTAATGCAGAAACACGCACACAAGCATTTGCACAAGCAACCATGCGTTCCATCTCAGTGGGGTTGTAGTCCTTCTGTAACCGTGGATCAACAATTGCATCATAGTTGCCATTCTCTATAGCTTGTGTGAGCAAAGGCCTCACCTACAATTTCAAAATAGTGAGATCGATCCTGTACATTTAGCCAGTCTTATGCAAATTGTACAAAATAAGAGAGAGCCCACATTTGTTGAGCAATGCTACCATGCTAGTAAATTGTTCTAGTTCTTCATGTCACAATTAATGGAATGACAGCATCTTTGAAGGGTTTAGAACTAGGGGTGTTCTGATGCAAGGACATACTCACCGAGTCTACAAAGCTAACATTTAGGTCGAATCGAGATTCATGAAATGGGGAGCATCCGGTAATCAACTCTAACAATGTGACCCCAAATGAATAAACATCTGATTTTACTGTTAGTTTCCCGGTGGATGCATATTCTGGAGCAAGATACCTGTGGAAAGTCAAAAGTTGTTAATTTTAAGAGGAAAAAAGAAAAGGATTAGAGTAGAACATAATCACATCAAATGTATTTAATTGTTAAAGCGTCTGGAATTACTAAGCTGAATCAACTAGCTAGGACTCTCAAAAGTCACAAACTAATTAAAATCATTTCATGGCAAATTTTTTCTTATTTTTCATTTGTAAATTACTAACAAAATTGAAGTAAATAACAACTCAAAGACATAATCACATCCATACTTTGAGGTTTTGGTTATAGTGTAAATGCAGGGAAACTGTACTATTTATACAAGAAGTAAACTCTGGCTCAACTAATCTAACAAACTAACCAACTTGTACAACAAATTAACAGCTATACTAACAGAATAACTAACCGTAGCTAACTGACTAACCACTATACAATCTGTACATCCCCCCCTCAAGTTGGAGCTTGGTATTGATGAAAATCAACCAAACCCAACTTGGAAACAATGGAATGGAACTGAGGGCCAGCAAGACTTTTAGTAAACACATCTGCAAACTGTAACTTTGTAGAGATGTAATTAGGAAGAACGAAGCCAGCTTTATACTTGTCACGCACCAAGTGGCAATCAATTTCTAGGTGCTTAGTACGCTCATGGAAGACTGGATTAGCAATAATATGCAACGCTGCTAAATTGTCACACCAGAGAGGAATTGGCAAAGGAAAACTGATTCAAAATTCCTGTAGTATGTAACTGATCCACTGCAGGTCACAAACGGTAGTAGCAAGGCTGCAATATTCCGCTTCTGCTGAAGATCTGTTGACAATGGATTGTTTCTTGGTTTTCCAAGAAATCAATGAAGAACCCAGAGATATACAGTAGTCAGTGAGTGATCGACGAGTCTCCTTACAAGCCGCCCAGTCTACATCACAGTAGGCTTCAAGAGAGAAATCGTTCGTAGACGGAAAGAACAAACCTCTTGAAGGGGTTCCCTTGAGGTATTTGAGAATGTGAAGAGCTGCCTCCCAATGAGCCTTGGTAGGAGATTGAACATATTGGCTAAGCTGTTGAACAGCATGAGTAATATCAGGTCTAGTTAAATTGAGATAGAGTAGCTTGCCAACAAGCCTTCGATAGAACAACATCTTACAAAATGCCTAACACATACTTCCTTTGGTTAACATAAGTGCCACCTGACCCTCTTGCAATCTCAAGGCCCAGAAAATACTTAGCAAACTCCATATCCTTAATAGTAAAAGTGACATCTAGGAACTGTTTAACCTTTTGAATTTCACTTTCATGAGTGCCAGTGACAAGGATATCATCGACATACACTAATAGAGCTAAAAAGGAACTTGATGTGCTCTTTGTAAACAAACAATGATCATGTGCACTCTGTGTGAATCCATAAGCTTGAAGTTTAACACAAAACTCAACATTCCATTGGCGGGAAGCCTGCTTTAAACCATACAGAGACCTTTTTAACTAACAAACTTCATGTGGTTTTGCTTTGGTATAACCCTAAGGAGGCTACATAAAGACTTCTTCATCAAGATGACCATGTAAAAATGCGTTGTTAATATCTAATTGATGTATAGCCCAATTCTTGGCAGTAGCAATAGCCAAAAATATCCTCACTGTAACAAGCTTGGCTACTAGAGAAAAGTTGTCCTTGTAGTCAACTCCTTCAATTTGATGGTAGCCTTTTTCTACCAATCTCGCTTTGTATCTATTAACGGTACCATCTGGCAAATACTTTACCTTATAAACCCACTTCGACCCAATGGCCATTTTTCCAGGTGGCAGAGGAACCAACTCCCATGTGTTATTTGATTCTAAAGCCTCCATCTCTTTTGTCATAACCTCAACCCACTTATCATTTTTGCTTGCATGATAATATGAACTAGGTTCAGGAACAGAGGACACATTGGCAAGAAAAGACATGTAAGTGGTAGTGAAAAGAGGTGATTTATGATAGGGAAATGTTGGTGGTGTATAGGCTAAAGAACCTAGTGATGTAGCTGTATTTGAAGTTGTAATAGCAGTGGGCAAGTCAGTAGGAACGGTCACATTAGACACAAAGTCATTCATCCATGTTGGTTTAAACTTTTGTCTAGTGCTATGTCTTAAAGTAGGAACGGGAATATCTGAATGATGTGTGTCAGACGAAGATTGAATGGGGTCCAAAGACTGTATAGGATCTGAAATGATATCAGTATGGATAGATTCAATAGCAGTAGAAGGAGAGATAGTGGGAATACGATCAAGAGCAGGATCAACATTCTGGTTTAAAGGAGTTGTTGGCAAATGATTTGAATTGAAGATAATAGGATCATAAAAGAGAATAGGTAATGATACTTCACTGCCATCATTGGTAACATTTGCAAAAGGAAAAATATTTTCATGAAAAACCACATCCCGAGAAGTATAAAATTGATGAGAGTCTAAATCATAAACTCTATATGCCTTCTAACCTGTGACAAATCCTACAAAAACACACCTATATGCCCTGGCTTCAAATTTATCCTTATGTGGCTTAGTGTTAGTTGCATAGCATAGGCAACCAAAACATTTAAGTAATCTGGTTTTTTGTTATGTAACACTTCATAAGGGGTTTTTCAATCTAAAAGACTAGTAGGTACCCTATTTATGATATAAGCTGCCATTAAGAAAGAATGGCCCCAGAATTTTATAGGCATATTGGCCTGAAACATTAAGGCTCTTGCTATTTGTAAGACGTGTTTATGCTTCCTCTCAACAATGTCATTTTGTTGAGGAGTATAAACACAACTCTTTTGATGCATAATTCCTAATTGAGACAAGAAAGTTTGACATTCATTGCTAGTAAACTCAGACCCATTATCCGTCCTAATGCATTTAACTTGTTTCTGAAATTGATTTTTCACCATTTGAAAAAAAAAAAATTAATGTTTGTAATGTCTGATGTTTATGTGTAAGTAAGAATGCCCAAGTAGCTCTGCTACAATCGTCTACCACAGTAAGCATGTAATGTGCTCCTGTAATAGAAGCTTTATGGTATGGTCCCCATAAGTCTATGTGCAGAAGATCAAAAATAGAATCTGCCCTAGTATTGCTAAGTGGAAAAGACAGTCTATGTTGTTTTGATTTGTGACAAACATCACATGGTGAAAGCAGTGTTGTACCAATACCATTTAAAAAGGTAATATGTTGTAATGATTTCAATGAAGCATGACCAAGCCTGTTATGTCACAAATGTTCAGAATCATTATTCAAATCATTAGTAGCAGTACAAGGAAGATTGACTGAGTTACAAATAGAATCAAAAGAAGATTTGACTGAGTCAATCTGATTATTGCAAGAAACAAAAAATGTAGTATCATGGAATAAAGATTTGTCCAAAATGTATAGATTCCCAACCACTTTACCAACTGCTAGAACAGCTTCAGTCTGAGGGTCCTGCAGAATACATATGTCAGAAAGAAATACAAATTTAATTTGTGCAGTCTTGGAAAGCTTTCTTACTGAAAGAAGGTTAAAATTGAAACTAGGGACATAAAGTGCATTGGTCAAGGTCAGTTTAGGGCTAAGATGCACATCACCTATTTGATGAACAAGTTTAACAGATCCGTCAGGTAAGAAAACTGGAGTAATTTGTGATACTGGTTTTGGTTTATGAGGTAGTTTGGGGTTACTGCACATGTGGTTTGATGCACCCGTGTCCACTATCCATGTTCCACAATCCAAATTATCAAATGAATGTAAAGCAAAATGGAAAGCAATACTAGAGTTTTTACCAGCAAAATCCTCAATATGTGTGAAGTTAACATGATTGCCTTCAAAAGCAGCCTTTCCCTTCATCATCTTCGACAATTCCTGCTGAATCATCTCTGACAAATACACTTGTTGATCAGTTGTTTTTCAGCCGCACGGTCCATGTTAACATCCAAAGGATTATCAGCCATTTTTGCCATATTTCTTCCTCTTGTAACCTTGCCTCGTTGCTCTTTAAGTTCCTTATACCATTCTGGATAACCATGCAATTTGAAGCATGTATCCTTAGTATGACCGCCCATGTTACAGTGATCACAAGACAACTTCTCATATTTCTCATTCTTTTTGTCATTATAATTTGACTTCTTATGAATTCCTCTCCCGGCACCAGATCCTCTTCCCATAGGTGCTTTCACAAACATTGTTGAGTTCTCAACTTTCTCAGCCAAGTTAAGATGAACCTCTCATTGCTTCTCAACTCGCAAGATCATTGAATAAGCCTTGTTGACTGAAGGCAAGGGCTCCATCATCAAGATCTGGTTCCTCACATGATCAAAATCATCACTAAGGCCCATTAAAAACTGCATTAGCCTATTAGAACAAGCAAGATCTGAAACATTCTTCGCAATGCCACATGTACAATTCTTACAAGTACATCGTGGTATTGGTTGCATACAGACCAATTCATCCCACAGTTTCTTCAGCTTTGTGAAGTACTTCACCACTGACTAACTTCCTTGAGAAATAGTACTTATTTCTCTTTGGATCTGATAAATTTGCGGTCCATTAGATTCACGAAATCTTTCTTCCAATTCCAACCAAAGTTCTCTAGCAGTTGATGCATAGAGAAAAGCTTCCACTATTTCCTTAGAAATAGAGTTCAAGATCCATGATCTAATCATGCAATCCACACAAATCCATTGATCGTAATCAACAGAATCTTCTTCTAGCATCACACACCTTCCATTGATGAATTCGAGCTTCACCTTAGCTCCTAGGGCTATCTTAATCGATCTACTCCAAGACAAATAGTTGTTACCTGTCAAAGGAGTCGTGACAATTTGCATTCCTAGATGATCTGAGTTTGCCAAAGCCATTGGATCTCCATTAATGGTACTTGTCGTTTCCTTGTGTACAGTTGCAGTTCCAGTTTGAGATGCAACCACAACCGTTGGATCTTCAATAACTTCCATTCTTTCAGCTGGCGCAAAACCAAGAATCTACTATCTAATCTTCAAAAGAATCAACAGGATGGAGGTACAGGTAGATCTGGATTGATTCGCTCTGATACCATGTAAAATTCTGGAGGAGAAGAAAACTAGAAGACAGAGAAAAATTTCTTGTATATTTCAACCTAACTATACAGGATACAAGATGACTATTTATACAAGAAGTAAACTCCGGCTCAACTAATGTAACAAACTAACCAACTTGTACAATAAATTAACAGCTATACTAACAGAATAACTAACCGTAGCTAAGTAACTAACCACTATATTATCTGTACAGGAATGCCAATGAGGCGAGATCCTGTGAACCCCTGGGTTCACTGGGCGCGCGAACCCTCCAATAGGAGGCGTGCACGTTGCCCCTTTGAGTCATGCGCGAAACCTCCATCGTTGTAAGCTTAATTAACCGTTAATCGGTTGAGAACACAGAAACCGAGTTTGAGAACACAGAAACTGGTGGCATCCTCACTGAATCATTCAACCATATCCGGCGGTAACCAGGTGAACCATTCAACCATATCCAGCGGCAAGGGGTAAGACCCTCCGGTAAGTGGCTTCTCCTTCTCCGACGGACTTAGAACCCTGTTTTGAAATGTAATTTTCAAAACAGCGGCAAATGTGATTTTCTTCTCCTTCAACTATTTCATGTTGTTTTGCTTTCCTTCTCCAACTATTTCATGTTGTTTTGCTAGTTAGGATGGTGCCGGTGACCTGTAGAGAAGAAGAAAATCACATTTGAGATTCAAAACAGGGTTTCAAGTCTGTCAGAGAAGGAGAAGCCACTTACCGGAGGGTCTTACCGCTTGCCGCTGGTTGCTGCTGGATATGGTTGAATGATTCACCCGGTTACCGCCGGATATGGTTGAATGATTCACCGCCGGAGGTCAGTGAATCAGTGAGGATGCCGCCGATTTCTGTGTTCTCAAAACTACGTACGGCTCGAGTGACTTGAAAATGGGGGGAGTGGGGGAGAGAGGGAGATGAAACGAAGGGATGGAGGGCTCTCGATTGATTTTGTTTTCGTCCCGCCCGGTTCAACCGATTAACGGTTATTTAAGCTAACGGCGATTGAGGTTTCGCGCATGACTTGAAGGGGCAACGTGCACACCTCCTATTGGAGGGTTCACGGGGGGGTTCACTGAATCTCGCCTCAATGCCAATGGCCTGAGTGCTAAATTCATTTGACATTTGACTTGGCGTTGCTCATTTGTCAAAAACAGAAATGAGAGGAAAAATGATGTGCACCCCTCCCCCACACTGAAAAGTAGTGATGGGCGAGGGGGAGGAGGACTTTTCATCATTAGGAAGGAAATAAAGTGGGAAGTAGAAGTGCAAATTTTGCTCAAGTGCAAATGATAATTACAAAAAAAATAAAAATAAATGGATATAAAATTAACTAATAAAATAGTTGCAAATTTTATATCTGCTTTTTACACAGCAAACAAACATAAGAAGCACCACACTGCCTTTGTTTCTTGGGTAAATTAATTAGCATGCAAGGTTGAATAAAATTCACTTATCAATTACCACGTAAAAATAAATTAAATTAATGATAGTCACAAACAAACTTTAGGTGTTTATAATGAGTTGTGAAACTTAAATAGTTTAATTTAAAGAAATGGCCCTTACCCAAAAGTTCCTATTATTCGGGTTGAAACATGGGTATCAGTATCAGGAAAGAATTTTGCCAACCCAAAATCTGCAACCTGAGAAAACAATCCTAGTTAGTTAACTAAGTTTTAGAAATGGGATTCCAAATTAAAGTTAGCAAGTAGATAATCATATCACATAATCCAAACATATGCTAATATATGTGTCTTTTTAGTTTCCTTAATTATAAAATGTGCAGTTCTATTCACTACAACAACTTGGTTTTGATTTCTATGTACACCACTCTTATTGGGCTTTCCATGCACACACACAAAACCTTTGCCTCAAATTTAGAGTCAAGAGAGAGAGAGAGAGAGTACCTTTGCCTCAAATTTAGAGTCAAGGAGAATATTTGTAGCCTTAATATCACGATGGACAATCTTAGGATGACCTATAGATATAATTGCTTAAAGTTAAGTAAGGTTAATTAGAATAAAACAATACCTCATGACGTGTCACTAGAAAGTAAGGTTAGAATAAAACTCACAGTCCTCATGCAGATATGCAAGTCCTTTTGCAGTTCCAATGGCGATTTTTAGTCTCGAAGCCCAATCCAAAGTTGGTTGATCTTTCCCTGCAATCATTTTTTCTTCTTTTATTTCTTTGAGAAAAGTTCTAGAAGGTTGATAGGAGAAATATATAGAAAGACATACCATGTAAGTGGAAGTCCAAGGTCTTGTTTGGAACAAATTCATAAACAAGCATTCTTTGATTACCATTAACACAATACCCAAGCAATGAAACCAGATGCTTGTGATGTACACGGCTAATAATTTCAATCTCAGCAAGAAATTCACGGTCGCCCTGTCTACTTTTTTCTTTAAGACACTTAACCGCTACTTCATTCCCATCAGAAAGGATTCCTTTGTAGACATATCCGAAACCACCTGCTCCTATGTCTTCTGAGAATCCATTGGTTGCTTCTGCTAATTCTTCAATTTCGAATGCCTTTGTTGAGAAGGATTGCTTAAGTTGATTATCTAACACTGAATGCACGGGCCCCCAACCTCCGGTGCTGCTTGAGCTCGGAGGTGGAGGTTCTGAATTGTATGATGCTGAAAGCAGCTGCTGTGGTGATTCAGCTGCTGATGGAGGTGAAGACTTTGATAGCATTGGTACCTCACAACCTTGCAGTGATGCTTTGAGTTTCCATTGTTGGGGCTGAGAATTCTGACGATTATCTGATTGTATTGCCCATATTAAAAATTGCTACACATTTCTAGAATACTTTATTCTAGAACTTCCTATTTATACTTGAGAAGCAAGTAAATTTGTGTGGTCAAAATTCCTTAAGTAAAAGAAGGATCTAGAGCAAATAATATTAACCACAAATGTAAAGTCAGATTACCTTCTAACCACCGACTCTAGCTACTATAAATACAACCTCTTGTATTGCAAATGAGTATGAGAGAAACAGAAAAAATATAGAAGCTATTAGCATTCTCTCTCCTACTTCCTATCATATACTCTACTCTTCTATACCAACAGTGGTATTAGAGCTTTGTTTGATCAACACTGGGCGTAATCCTTACTATTCATTATGAATACCGATTCCAATCGCTCTTCTCTTTCTCTTCCAATTTTCCATGGAGAAAATTATGATTTTTGGTCCATCAAAATGATGACCTATTTTCGATCACAAAATCTATGAAAAATTGTTGAAGAAGGATACAGTATTCCTAAAGACACTTCTACTCTCTTAGCAAATCAAAAGAAGGTCCAATAAGAGAATCAACAAAAGGATTCTCAAGCGTTATTTTGCTTGCAGCAAGCAATGGCAGACGATATATTTCCTCGAATTATGGGTGCGTCAACTGCAAAAGAAGCATGGAAGCAACGGGCAAAGGCATCATTGTCATTGACACCAAACAAGGCAAGAAATACATCAATGATGTACTCTTGGTCCCCAACATTGATCAAAACCTACTCAGTGTAGGTCAAATGATGGAAAAATGATACTCTTTACATTTTGAGGGAGATTCTTGCACAATCTACGACAAGCAAGACAAATCCCTTGAAATTGCAAAAATAAAAATGAAAGAAAACAGATGTTTTCCCATACAATGGAGATACGCAAGCAATGTAGCAATGCAAGCGCAAGTGGACGAGTCGTGGCTATGGCATAGAAGGTTTGGACATTTAATTTCCATGGCTTAAAGATCCTTTAGCAGAAGAACATGATGCGAGACCTACCAGCAATCAAGGAGCTCAACAATGTTTGCGAAGGGTGTATGCTTAGGAAACAACACCGACAACATTTCCCATCCGGAAAAGCTTGGAGAGCCAAAGAGCCACTAGAGTTAATCCATACAGACGTTTGCGGTCCAATGCATCAAATGATCAAAATAGGTACTTCATTCTCTTCATCGATAAGTGGTCACAACATCAAGACGACAAGAAGTGACAGAGGCAAAGAATACACTTCTAATGAATTCAACAAGTTCTGTGAAGATGAAGGCATGGAGCATCAACTCACAGTCAGATACGCACCAGAACAAAATGGAGTATCAGAAAGAAAAAACAGAACAGTTATGGAGACAGCAAGAGCCATGCTCATGGAGAAGGGTCTTCCAAAAACTTTTTGAGCAGAGGTAATAAGCACTACAGTCTACTTGCTCAACAGATGTCCAACCAAAGCTCTGCAAAATAAGACACTGATCGAAGCTTGGAGTGGACAAAAGCCATCAGCAAAGCATCTCAGAGTTTTTGGCAGCATATGCTACACTCACATTCCACAAGAGAAAAGAGGCAAGCTAGACGAGAAGACTGAGAAATGAATCTTCTTAGGCTATAGCACTCAATCAAAAGGATATCAAGTCTATAGCTTAAGAACAAAGAAGCTCATAATCAGCCAAGAGGTAAGATTCGACGAAGACGCTGCATACAATTGGTATCAACATGCCCCTATTACCAAGACAAGAAATTGAAGAAGGCCATGACCAAACTGGATCACCAACTCAACCAACAACACAATTAGAACCAGTACGAACCACAGAATCTCCTCCAAACTCACCACCAAGACAAACTAAATCCTTAACAGAGATATACGAGACATGCAACTTAATGCTTATGGAGCCAAAAAGCTTTGAAGAAGCTTTTAAGAAAGAAGTATGGAGAATAGCTATGGACGAAGAGATAACGATGATCGAGAAAAATGAGACATTGGACCTTGTAGATCGTCCACAAAACAAAGACACTATAGGAGTTAAGTGGGTTTACAAGACAAAGTTTAACTCAGATGGCTCAATCCAGAAGCATAAAGCAAGGTTAGTTGCTAAAGGATACTCACAACAATATGGTGTGGACTACAATGAGACATTTGCTCCAGTTGCACGCCTTGACACAATCAAGGCATTGATTGCATTAGCTGCATAGAAGAAATTGAAGATTTTCCAACTAGATGTGAAGTCAGCATTCCTCAATGGCTACCTTAAGGAAGAAATTTATGTGGAGCAACCTCAAAGGTTCGTGGTGCAAGGACAAGAATATACAGTTCTCAAATTATATGGCCTAAAGCAAGCTCTGCGAACCCAGTACAGTAGAATCGACAGCTACTTCATTGAGCAAGGATTCAGGAGGAGCAAAAGTGAGCCAACACTCTACATCAAGACTCAAGGTACAAATGATACACTTATTGTCTCTTTATATGTCGATGATCTCATTTACACAGGAAATAATGAGAAGATGATCAAGAAATTTAAAGAAGACATGATGAAGACTTTCGAGACAACCAATTTGGGTTTAATGCACTACTTTGTCGGGATCGAAATAACTCAAGAAGAAGATGGGATCTTCATCTCACAAAAAAAGTATACAGAGACTCTCTTGAAGAAATTCAAAATGGAAGGCTACAAGACAGTATCAACTCCATTAGACAACAATAAAGCATTCAAGAAAGAAGATGGCTCACCAAAAGCAGATGAATCACAATTTTGAAGTATAATTGAAATCTTACTCTATTTAGCAGCTACAAGACCAGACATCATGTATGCAGTTAGTCTACTATCAAGATTCATGCAGATTCCAAGTCAAGTTCAATATGGAGCAGCTAAGAGAGTGCTTAGATACTTGCAAGGAACAAAAAACTACGGAATATGGTACAGAGTCACGCATGACTCAAAACTAATTGGCTACACAGATAGTGACTGGGTAGGGTCAGTAGACGACATGAAAAGCACGTCAGGATATGCTTTCACAATTGGATCAGGGATATTTTCTTGGGCATCAAAGAAACAAACAACAGTTGCGCAATCATCAACTAAAGCAGAGTATATTGCAGCAGCAATGACAACAAGCCAAGCTATATGGCTAAAAAGAATACTTGAGGATATGGGAGAACCACAAGTGGAAGCTACATAAATCTATTGCGATAGCAGATCAGCTATAGCAATGGCAAAGAATCCTATATTTCACAGTAGAACCAAGTATATAGGCATCAAGTATCACTTCATCAGAGAGGCTGAAGCAAACAAAGAAATAGAACTCAAACACTATAAGACTGAAGAACAATTAGCAGACATATTTACAAAGGCACTACCAAAAGGCAAGTTCGAACTATTACGAGACATGATTGGAGTTACTGAAATGTGCACCAAGGAGGAGTATTAGAAGTTGCTACACATTTCTAGAATACTTTACTCTAGAACTTCCTAATTATACTTGAGAAGCAAGCAAATTTGTGTGGTCAAAATTCCTTCAATAAAAGAATGATCTAGAGCAAATAATATTAACCACAAATGTAAAGTCAGTTTACCTTCCAACCACCGACTCTAGCTACTATAAATACAAAGTATGAGAGAAATAGAAAAAATACAGAAGCTACTAGCATTCTCTCTCCTACTTCCTATTATATACTCTACTCTTCTATACCAACAGCCCACCATCATGAATAAGAATAAGAAAATTTCAGGAGTAACATCAATGAGTACAGGAAATTTGTGTAAGAGAATCCTACTAGTTGCAAGCAATCTGTTACGGTTCTAAATGTTAAAAATGCATATTTGTAGAGTGCAAAACTATGTATTTTGTATGTATTTGTACTGTAGATATTTGTTTTTGCATTCCTTCCATATTGAGCCTAACTATATTATTTTGCACTCTTAATTAATGCAAAATTTGTATTTTTGTCTCATTCACATCAGTTGAGTCCTTGAGAGTGCAAAATTTGTATCTTAAAATGCTGATATAAAATTTATACCACTGTACCACTTTCCTTCTCCCCTAGTTCCCTCCCATCCCATAGAAAGTGAGAGTCTGTACTGTTTGATTCCACCATTCAACTCATTAAAGAAAAGTACAAAACAAATTAATTAGAAAATATAATATCACTCCAGATCATTTTTATAGTATATATGCTTATCACATTGAGAAAAGCATAAAACAATAAATATTTAGTAAAACATGTATTTAAAGTGTGTTTAGAGAATTCGTGCCATACAGCAATTCTTGCAAAATAGAGGCAAAGATAAGAGGAGATTCAAAATTACTCATCAAGCCACCCCCCGAGACATCTACATCAACCACTTCTATCAAACTTCCAGCAGGAGCGGCCTTAATATTCAGTATTCTCATTTTCATAGGAAAGGATAGCCCATTTTTCTCTTTATCAAGAAAAGCCGGTAATGCCAAAGTCTGCAGGGTTGTCTTTGGTATCATTTTTGTTACTTGTTTCTATATAAAAAATCTTGAATTGATCAATATAAATTGTTTCTCTACCCGAAATGTTTGATCCAGTCTCTTAAAACAGTTTGGTTTGGCCTGAGAATTTCTCTTATCATAATTTTTTGGTTTGATCTAGTTTTCTAAAATTTGAAAAGTTGACCAAAACGTAAAATAGATTAAACCAAATTATTAATAAGGCATTTATTAATGTATATAATTTCGTTGTTTGTAGGGGCGGAGCCAAGTTATTTGGGGGATGGGGGGAGAGTCCTTGGCCCTCCAAACTTTTCCACACCCCATGCCTTTAACTAGGGGTAGCCCATCCCATATATCAACAACCAGCTGGTTGGGCTAATATTTAGCCCCCCAAAGCATTTTAAAAAAAAATGTTATTGTGTGGGTTGAGTCACATTAATTTTGATTTATCCAATCATGACCCAATCTGATTTCTTGAAATCCTAATTCTAACTTTAACAAAATCCATTATTTTTTCCTATATCAATCCAATTTATCTGAATTG